AAAAAAAAAAGTCAACGGACTTGCTCCATTTTGCCCAAGTCAGTCCTCATGGACACAGGAGACAAGAGCTTTCTAACCTCTCCGTGCTCCCCTAGTAACACTAATCATCTTGATAGCTGGTTCGCAAAGTAAGCATCTCTGAAGTATGTTAATGCTTTCTGCCTTAGATATACAGTCTGACCACTTTGTTTTGCAGACCAGGAATACAGCTTCACTTCTACAATGGCTGTATAAATTATATCCTGGCGTGGGTAAGCTTGCGCTCATTTTAGAAACTTTCCTAAAAGCAAATATGGGAATACAGTGTAATGAAACCTGTATGCCTGTTTGTAAAAAAGTCAAGGCCTCAGGGAATACCTACTGAGAGAAACACTGTAACCGGACTTCACCTGCCACAAGCTGTTATACAGAGGAGTCAGTTGAGACTCAAGTTTGACAGTAGTAAAACCCACCTTGCATTACACCATCAAGGTCCTGTTTGGTATAAAAACTTGAACCAGGTGCGTCTTAGGGGCTAAGCTAAAATAAAGGAGTGGAAGCTTTATTTCTGGCCTGGAGTGGCTTGAAGTAACAGCAAAGCTGTGCTATCCATCTGATGTGCCTTTCCCTACAGCACCTTCCATATAAAGGTCTGAACACTTTGGAAGTTACCAGATCATGAAAGTACCTTGATGTACAGTTGTAAAGCATTCCCAAATCCAAGTATCCTGCTTCAACCACAACAAAACACACCTCCTGAGCACAGTCAGAGACCACAGGTTATTAGATCTTAGCTGAAGATGACATTTTTGGTTCAATTACAGGTTGGACCTCATGAGCTATTACAGCCCTTCAGAAGTAGACATCACCTTTATGCTGGTGCACTCAACTCCTGACTAAGACTGCAAGCTGTAAATCCAGGACTTCTTACTAAGTTAGTACAGCAAACCCCACTTAGACATAACTGTTTATTAAAGAGATAAAGCTAATCCAAGCAAATTGTTTTATTACAGTAAATCCTCTGAAAACATAGCACAGGAATTACACCCATTAAAGGAGAGAAGCAGATTTGCCAGCTGGCGATTTGCAGTGATTACCTTTACCAAGAGAAGCCAGTGGTCTATGCAAAGCATGCTAATTAACATGCCATAAACAGACAGCAACACCCCTAGAAGAGGAGCAGACGGAAACAGGAGTGGAGGAATTAACAAACCACAATGAAGCTTCTGGTTTTACACCTCCCAACATCACTTCTGTTCACCACAGATAGCAGGTACTTTTGGCCTCTACTGATAAAGCCCTCAACTGTCAAATAATTACCTCTACCCATGTTGAAAGTGAGGCCACATGGCCAAAGCCACACGTAGGGTGCAGACAGCAGTGACAATTTTCGCCTGATCTACCAACAAGAGCAGTTCATAGCTGTGATGAAACAAGTGCATGGCTGCAAACAGCTTTAAAAATGTCCAACTGGGTCAAAAATTTGACCACTCATTGCATAAGGTATCAGATGAAGACATTACAAAATGTAGCGTCTTTTGTAACTTGTCTGCAGAGCTGCCAGCCTCTCCTGTTTTCAGAATGGGAAGGGGAAACGGGAGCAGAGGGAGTTCAGTCTGGGGGGTTTTCAGCTCCCTTGGAGAGCAAGGCAGGTGTACTGCAGCTCCCCACCACAACCTACAGTACCAGGCAGCTTGGCCACACGCCCCTCTGGACAGTGTTTCCCAGCCAGTCTAGCCCCATGTGCACATGCATCAGTCCCAGTGCCGCTGGCCTGGTCACAGAGCTCCCCACCACCCGCAAAGGGCTGCCCTGCCCTCTTCCCCTGCTGGAGGGGCAGGTGCCTACCCCAAGCCGCTGGGACCTGGGTCCAGCTAGGCCCTCTCCAGTGTGGTCCCCAGGACCTCTTCTAGCCCCCAGCCCGCTCTGGAACGTGGCTGAATTTTGCAGTCCCCACCCCCACCCCCAGGTGAGAGCCATCGTGTTGGGACCAGGAGGCCAGAAAGGTTGAAAATCCCCAAGCTGGTGCCGACCCGCTGGGCCCTGCTCTCTCCAGCCTCTGCCCCTTCCCACCCCCTGTCTCCCCCAAAGGGGGTAAACCCAGACCCTGCCATAACCAGAGCCACTTGACCTCATGTTCCCTAAGAAGCCA